CAGAACCAGGGATTGAACTCAGGCCCTTGTGCTTGCCAGGGAAGCACTTATTCCACTGAGCCATCTCTCTGGCCCACCCTGTAGGTTTGATGTAATCCCACCAAGGCTTTGATGATTTGTAAATGCAAAGATTTGAGACACTTCAAAGGAAGAGGTAAAGGTTTACTCTTCCGGACATCAGAAGTCAGCAGGAGGCTGGCAGGCTGGCACCACTCTGCTAATGTGGTGGCAACACAGGAGCAGTCATCCCAGGCCCGTGGCAAAGCAGAGAGAACACAGATGCACACCCTCCTTGATGGCCACACGGTGATCCGCCAGTGATGTCCTCAGAAAGAGGATGATTCTTCGATAAGAATCAAAGTGGAACCTTTATTTTTAATTTTATTTGCATTTATTTTATGCTTAATTTATTCCTGTGCCACAAGTTTCTGTTTCTCCAGTTTCTTCTGAGTTGCCTTTTTCTTCTGTGCAATCTCCTCCTCTGGTTTAGGAACAATTTGTCCCTTTTCAGTAAGGATCACCTCAGTGTCGCAGGGGGAGCTCATGCCCAGCCATGAGCTCTGTAAGTACAGCGGCACATCTTGGGTGCTTTGTTCACCTGGATATGTTCAATCGCCAGAGAAGCTACATCTAAACCCTTAAGTTCAGCATGACTTTCTGCATTTTTAAGCAGGTACAGCAAAAATTCAGCCCTCTTTTTGAGCCACCTACCCTGTGTCCAGCCCCACTGTTCGGCCTGGGCACACCTACCAACTCTACCATTGTAACGCCAGAATGGCACACATTGCTTCTTTAATGTGACATCCTTCAGATACTTGGTGGCCTTCGGATGTGTACAGCCTTGATGGCCTGGGAAGTTTCATGTGTGTTCTTAAAGTCAATGCGAAGATTTGAGCCTCTTGATTTGCATGATGTTGTAGGGTTTTCTGGGTTAAGAGAGTAGCGAAACATTTTCACAGGTCACCGCAAGCTGCTCACAGAAAGAGCCAAAGCAGAACCTTTAAACTGTCACTCAGGTGGGAAACAATTCAGTCTCAGATAAGACAGGAAACGGAAGAAGAAATGCTCAGGTAATATACAAACAAGTGAAAATTGGGGATTAACTAGGCAGAAGAGAAGTAGCTTGTGACGCCACGGCTGGCAGGTAAAAACATAAGGGAACATGGAATGCAAAGTTCAGACAGAGTGAACACATAAGAACAGCTCAGGAAACACCGAGAGAATGTCCCTGAAGCGTGTCACACTGTGCAAGAGCTAATGCTGCACGCTTGCGAGAGCCAGCCATGAACTAACGAGACACAGCCTCAGGTGGAGCTCGCCGGGCTGGGAAGCAAGTCTAGATCCCCTCTCGGAAATAAGCGCCATCACCTTTTTAAAAGTGGAGATTATAAGACTCACCCTTATTGAACACTAAATAATGGTCACGCAGGGAACGCTGGAGGCAACCACTCACTGTGAATGCAAAGTGAACCATCAGAAAGATGAAGGGGAAAGCAAAGCTGTGGGTGCTGGAGTTGGCCCAGTACAGGATCCATTTTCCTTAAAAATGGGAGAAGAAAAAGTTGTCGAAGAGGTGAGTAAAGAACCATACAGGTAGACTTGCATTTGCCACCTTCAAGAGCACGAGAACTATGGGGGAAACTGCCAGCGCTCCTGGAATACGGAACTTTCTGCATCACTTTATTTACAGTGAGAATACCACTGAAATCAATAACGTAAGAGATCTATACTTTAAATTTTAATGAGACAAAAGTCACCATACACAAAGTTAGAAGACAAGGAAAAGAGTTTTCCAAGATGTTTAGCACAAAATCTACTGGATCATGACAGTAAGGATAAACACCTGAGTTACACTGGCAAAAAATAAACAGCAGTAGAACAGGGCATTTGAATATTAATAAACAAATAGACAATCACAAAGACAATCACCTTCCCACTTAATCAGGAAAATGCAAACTTAACACACGATGCAGCACCTTACCCATCCCCTTTACAAAGACTGGGCGACAACACTCTCACTGGCTACTGGTGGGAGTGTATGCTGATTCAGACCCTTACAATTATTGAGGCAGTGCTTTCTGCCTCAGTAATTCCAGTTTGTTGGGTTTTGACACAGACACATACTTGTGCACATACACAATACCAGAGAGAAATATGTAAGTATGGTCATCACAGCTTGTTGATAAAAGTAAACAAAGGAAATAATGTGTGCGTCCATCAGGGCAGAATGGCTTTAAAATTGTGGCACACATGTGAACCCTAGGTGGGAGTAAAGAGGGTTAAAAAGAATGAGGGAGATAAATAGGTATTAATGGGAGAGAGCTTTAAGATTCCTATTTTAAAGTAAGTAATGCAAAATGCAGACAGTATGTACAATATCTTCCTTGAAAACAAGATATCTAGACCTAGATCTAACAAGATATGGTTTCAATTATTTCCTTCTATATTGTTTGAAATCTTATGAACAAGGGGGCCAGCCAAACAGCTCAGAGGATTAACACAGTGACCAGGGTTTGAACCCTGGCATGCTGTGCCGGCCCCGCCCCCACGGGGCACTCTGAGATGGTGAGACTGGGCGGGCGTGGCAGCGTGCCTCTGTAATCCCAGTTCTTGGGAGGCTGAACACAGGC